TTAGCATATAGGGTTTTTTAAAAAATATTTTTTATTTTTATTTTGTGTGTATGCGTGTAATGCCTGAGTGTAGGTAAGTGCACCTGTGTTGTGCAATGCCCAAGGAGGACAGAAGAGGCTATCGGATGCCCTGGAACTGGACTTAGGGACAGTTGTTAGCTGCCATGTGGCTGCTGGGTTTTGAACCTGGATCTTCTGCAGGAAGTCAGTGTTCTTAACTGCTGAACCATCTCTCCAGCCCCGTATATAGGTTTTTAAAGTATTCCCTTATAATGTTCTGGATCTTTCTGGTGTCTGTGGTGATGTTTCCCCTTTCATTTCTGATTTTTTTTGATCTGGAGGTGCTCTTTCTTTCTTTTGGTTAACTGGGCTAGTGGTCTGTCAATCTTGTTTATCTTTTCAAAGAACCAGCTCTTGGATTCATTGATTTTGTATTTTCTTTGTTTTGATTTCATTAATTTATGCCCTCATTTTTGTTATTTCTTCTTGTCTGCTGGGTTGGGTTTTGTTTGTTGTTGCTTTTCAAGTGTCTTGATTTGTAATGTTAAGTCATTTATTTTGTTCTTTCCGATTTTTTAATGTAGGCACTTAGAACTATAAGGACAACTCTAACGACAACTTTCAGTGTGTCCCAGAGGTTTTGTTGTGTTGTATTGTCCTTTTCATTTAGTTCCAGGAATACTTTTATTTCTTAATTTCTCTTTTGACCCATTCATCATTCAGGAGTGTGTTGTTTAATCTCTATGTGTTCATGTGGTGACTAGGGCTTCTTCTGGTGTTGATTTTAAGCTTTATTGCATTGTGGTCTGATAGAATGCATGGAATTATTTCAATTTTTTTGTATTTGTTAAGATTTGTTTTGTGCCCCAGTATATGGCTGATTTTGGAGAAGGTTCCAAGGGGCGCTGAATAGAAAGTATGTCCTTTGGTGCTTGGGTGGAATACTCGGGAGATCTCTGTTAAGCCTATTTGATGTATGGTATTGTTTAATTCAGATGTGTCTCTGTTAATTCTCTGCCCTTTTGACTATCTAATGGAGACAGTGGGGTATTGAAGTCTCCTACTATTAATGAGTTGGGTTTAATCTGGGTCTTAAAGTCCTGCAGTATTGTTTTTATGAAGTTGGGTGCACCAGAGTTTGGTGAATATATGTTCATGACTGTATTATCCTCTTGATTTAT